GCTCTGCTGGACCTATTGGGCTGGAGCGAGCTGGGCTGAGCTGGGCTGTACCGGGCCAAACCGGGCTCTGCTGGACCTATTGGGCTGCAGTGAGCTGGGCTGTACCGGGCCAAAGCGGGCCAGCGTGTGCTGGGCTGAACCGAGCCAGGCGATGCCTGTCCAAACTGCACTGGGCTCTGCTGAGCTGAACCGGGCTGTGATGGGCCAAACTGGGCTGTACCAGGCTGAAATGGGCTGAGCTGCACCAGGCCAAACTGGGCTGTGTTGGGCTGAACCGAGCTGGGCTGTACTGGGTCAGGTGTGCTGGGTGGAACCGGGCCAGGCTGTACCACTGAACTGAGCTGTGCTAGGCTGAACCGAGCCGGGTTGTACCGGGCCAAACCAGGCCAGGCTGTGCTAGGCTGAACCAGACTCTACTGGGCTGGGCTGTGCTGAACCAAGCTGGATTGCACTGGGCCATTCCAGGCCGAACCAGGCCAGACTGAGACAGGCCGTACTGGGCTGAACCAGGCCGGGCTGTGCCGGGCCAAACCGAGCTGGACTGTCCCCAGCTCGGTCCTGTTGGATTCCCCATGGCCGGAACACCAGGACGTAGCGGGAAGACGGAACACGGAGCCAGGGGGGCTTCTCCTTCCCCTTGCAGCAAATCCCGCTCCTCTGGATGATCCCGCTCCATCCTCGGAGGCAAATCCTCTCCCCAGCACCAGCCCGGGAGGTTTTTTGGGGTTTTGTTTTTCTTTCAAGGATTAATAACACCGTTTTTTCTTGCATAGATCATCGCGGCAGCAGCTAAATGTGAAATCAATTCCTGCACCGCGCTCTTGACAGGGCAATAACCCAAATGTTAATCCCAAGCACCCAACAAGGATTTGTGTCATTGTGCTGGAGATCCGCTGCTGGAGACGTGTCGAGGAAAGGAGCCGCCTGGGGAGCCGCTTGTTTTTTTCCCCTTTATTTCTCTCTCTTTTTTTTTTATTTTATTAATCAAGAGGTCTGCAACCTGGGCAAGGTCCCTGCGTTGCAATGGGCCCTGCTTGGGCTCCCGGGTGCCAGGAGGGGACACGGAGCGGCCGTGGGGACACACGGAGTGGCTGTGGGGACACATGGAGTGACCATGGGGACACAGAGAGTGACCATAGGGACACAGGGAGCTGCAGGGATGCAGGGAGCTGCTGCAGGGACGCAGGGAGCTGCTGCAGGGATGCAAGGAGCTGCAGGGATGCAGGGAGCTGCTGCAGGGATGCAGGAAGCTGCTGTAGGGATGCAGGAAGCTGCTGTAGGGACACAGGGAGCTGCAGGGATGCAGGGAGCTGCTGCAGGGATGCAGGAAGCTGCTGTAGGGATGCAGGAAGCTGCTGTAGGGACACAGGGAGCTGCAGGGATGCAGGGAGCTGCTGCAGGGATGCAGGGG